GGCTGCATGCACATGCAGGTGGGCAGGGGCTTGATGCTGCGTGCACGGCTTGGAGGCGGGTCCCGTGGCTCCACGAGGCCTGGGGGTCCCTCGGATCTGCAAGGTGCGAGGCAGGGCCCCGCGGCTCCAGCCTACCTCTTTGGGGCAATCCATTGAGGAGCCCCGGGTGGGTGGGGCCTACCTCTTTGGGGTGATTAATTTCGGGGTTCCCACACTGTGAGAGGGAACAGGCCAGGCTGCCCCTCCCCCGCCCCCACTGGTGCATGAATTTCGTGCACCAGGCCTCTAGTGCTATAATAAAACACAAAAATCCCCTGAACACACTGTTTTTCATTTGTCTGTGCTTTTGCACATATACTCAATTCTCACTATTCACAGTAGTTATGTTCTAGAACAGAGATTTTCAATCAGTGTGCTGCAAGAATTTTTAAAACATGCAATACCTGAATATTTAGTCGGGAGCACTGACAAAATAAAAAAATGACAACAACCAACACAACAATGGCTACCTGGTATGAATGAATCAAAATTATACCTATTTTTGGGGTCAGATTGGCAAAAAATGTATTTTTTTGGTGTGCTGCAGAATTTTACTAATTAGTTTATGAGTGCCATGATGAAAAAGGTGGAAAATCACTGTTCTAGAAATTTACAGCAAACACTGAATGAGTGATTACTGAACCATTGGTCCTAAGGGAAGTAGAGAGTTATGTTCCAAGAGTCCTCTGATCACAACATTTTTGTCAATTAATCAATATAATACATAACTTTGTTTTATGTGTATTTCTTTTAAAGATGTCTTATTTAATGTATATTGTTGAACTCGTGCCTGAATGCAGCTTATCCAACACATCTATTTTCACTGTAAGGCACAACACAGCTTTCTTGCACTTTGCAACATTAGACAGACTTCAGCACTATGATAGTTGTACATTTTAAGCAGCAGGATTACACACACAAAAACCGTGGCACTAAATATATCATGAAAAGAAAACTTTACACTATGAGCTGAAACAAGGCAGAGTGTGGCCTTGTTTGACTTCAACTGGAAGCGTTCCTATTGGGTGACTTAATTTTTCACCACTGGATTCCTGCCAGTGAATAACTGACTGCAAAAGCACCACACATACAGATTTTTAGGTTACAAAAAATTTTAGCTAGTAGGTGAATTTGCAGATATGGAAATCTGCAAATGATGAGGATCAAGTGTATTAATGAGGACACCCTCTCTCTTTCTATAGAATTTATCTGGCCAACTCCTATTAGCCCTTCAGGACTCAGCTCAAGATATATGAGAAGCTTTGCTTGAATCCAGCCAGTCTGGGTTAGAAACATACCTAAAAAATGCCCCACAGTGCTCATATGGACCGGCTTCTTATTGCTTATAGGGCTGTTTTATAACTATTTACTTTTCTATTTCTCCTCCAATTGATGGTAAGAGCCTTGAGGGTGGGAATCCAAGGCCTAACTCCATAAAAGCAGCTCATTAAACATTTGTTGAATTAATGTCTTCAAAGAAGGGGAGCAGACTCCCTATAATGTTGAGAATGGACATGGTCATGTATGAAGTTAGAAGTTTCGTAAGTAACATAGAAAAGTAAATTGATTTTAACACTTTTTAAAAGATTTTTCAATACAAAATTTGATTTTAACTTATTTCAAACTTTTTTTTTTCAGGCTGCATTAACTTCAATTCATATTGTGATAAGGACAGTACTTGCTAAGTGATATACATTTTATTATTGTTTAAGCCACTTTAGATTTCTTAAAAAAATTTTTTGCCACTAAAAAAATCTAATTGACAGAGTTACCCTGAGATATAGACACATGGTTAAATATTAATTTTATATCTATTTTGGTTTTGGACAAATGCCTTTCCATCAGAAATGTATAACAATTTTAGAAAATCATTCAGAGAATGATGAGAAAGGCTAACATGGGCCAAATAAACAAAGTTTAAGTTTATGTGGGCTGAAAAAAGCCAAAAGCTTCAATTTTCATAGAAATGTTGGTTTATTTCGATAGAGACATGCTGAATATAAAGGGCTGAAATAAATGAGTAATCATTAAGATAAAACATTTTATAAAAATTAATATTTTTTCTTGAACATTAACTTACCAGACACTGAATAACTGCACAAATTAATAAGCATAATGCAAATAAACCTATTTTTCTTGTTCTCCGAAAGCAAAATATTTCCTGTTGTGCACACCGAACAAGTCAGTTCAAGACTAATGACATGGCAATCAGCTGCTAAAATATTCGCTGCTAGTATTAGTGGAGAGAAGTGTTGTGCCTGCACGTAAGGCGCATAAGGGAAATGAATGCAACATGATTATAAGGATCAGTCATTAGCAAACGTTGTAGTTTGTTATTAATAATTATGTATAACAGGATATTGTAAAAATTAAGTTACGAGCCCTAACCGGTTTGGCTCAGTGGATAGAGCGTCGGCCTGCAGACTGAAGGGTCCCAGGTTCGATTCCGGTCAAGGGCATGTACCTTGGTTGCGGGCACATCCCCAGTAGAGGGTGTGCAGGAGGCAACTAATCGATGTTTCTCTCTCATTGATGTTTCTAACTCTCTATCCCTCTCCATTCCTCTCTGTAGAATTCAATAAAATATATTTTTAAAAAAATTAAGTTATGAAATTTTTATTAAAACATTTCTTACATACCGTTATATTGGCTGGGCCACAAAAATATTCATTGTGGGCCACATGCGGGCCGTGGGGCAAGATTTTGACATGCATGCTCTGAACCAACCTAAAGCTCTAGGTTACCACCACCCGTCCCTTCTGCACCCATGCCAACAAAGAATTTCTCTGCCTCAGGCTAGTTTCATCAGTCAGTCCCATCAACTTTGAAGATCTACTGAAGCTAAAATGGAAAGGGTTCCAGTTCAATCTCTCCTTTTATACATGAAGCTTTAGGACTGAAGTCAACTTTCCTGTTTATCTTCTTTCCCAGGTACTTTTTGTTATTAAAAATAACAGCCAGGACAAGAATAAAATGATTACTTTGTTTCTAGATTCCAAATTAAAGAGAACTGAGAAACCAAAACATATAGGAAAGGTTTGAAAACCGTGTCCTCTCACACCAAGTACAAACTTCCCCTTTGACTCTTTTGTGCTGCTTGACAAGATGGGAATGTAGGTGACATTGCTGGCTCTTCATCCTGAAAGATCTCATGCTGGCCCAGAACTGTAAACTCCATGACTATCTAAATGGAATCTCTGGTTTGCCCTAGTCAGAGATGTTAATTATTTCTCAGTGCTTTACTGTGGTTGATTTTCACTTGATGTAATTTCTGGTCAAACTGCTCATTTGCTCTGTGAATACAAGGCCAGTCTATCCTGTTCTTTTTGCAGAAAAAGGAGTGAATACTTGTTTTTTCCTAAATACTGAGAGTCCAAGGATAATACATAATGAGTAAATACTGCAACTGATCAATTATTTCACGAATGACTAAAAAAAATGAAATAGAACAGAATAGAAAATAAAATGTCATAAGGCATCATAAGGGTAAGCTAATATTTTCAGAAACTTTTATTTCAGTTACATATATGTATGTGTTTATTAGATAATGATGTAAAACATTTCTTATTGTAGGCAAAAGTTTTAAAGCTGCAGCACCAGGCCATTGATGTTTTCAACTGATGAACTGCCCAACTCCTGCACTACTGCTGAAAGGTGGTGGGGGAGCTTCAGAAATATGTGTAAGCCCTTTATCCTAGCACAGTGCTTCTCCTTGCCATTGGCTTATTCTGAACTTTGTGACTCCATTCTGAAGAAGAGAATATCCTCTTAGTGCCAACAAGAATGGCCCATCTATTTTTAAGCACTTTGCAGGTGTGCCATTCATTTGCTACTTGAGTTTTTTTTTTAATCCACATTTTTCCTAATTAAACTGCAAAAACTGAGGATAGGCGCTACAGTTACCCAGCAACAACTTTATAAATACAAGATCCTTGATCAAAAACCTTTTAGGGATTGGAAAAGTTTTTCCTCTAGGCCTGCTTGTCTGGCCAAGGTATTTAACCAACTCTGCCACTTCCTCCTATGCCAGTGATGGCGAACCTTTTGAGCTCGGCGTGTCAGCATTTTGAAAAACCCTAACTTAACTCTGGTGCCGTGTCACATATAGAAATTTTTTGATATTTGCAACCATAGTAAAACAAAGACTTATATTTTTGATATTTATTTTATATATTTAAATGCCATTTAACAAAGAAAAATCAACCAAAAAAATGAGTTCGCATGTCACCTCTGACACGCGTGTCATAGGTTCGCCATCACTGTCCTATGCTATGCTAGAATAACTATCATTAGATGTGGATGGTTTCCAGATAGGTTTTAGTATAGTACCGTGGTCGGCAAACTGCGGCTCGTGAGCCACATGCGGCTCTTTGGCCCCTTGAGTGTGGCTCTTCCTAAGCCTTAGGAGTACCTAATTAAGTTAATAACAATGTACCTACCTATATAGTTTAAGTTTAAAAAATTTGGCTCTCAAAAGAAATTTTAATCATTGTACCGTTGATATTTGGCTCTGTTGACTAATGAGTTTGCCGACCACTGGTATAGTATATAGTATATACCTCAAGATTGTGTCTGTAGGTTTGTATACTCTTAAACAAAATAAGCTCTCATTATCTAATAAAAATATGCTATCCTTTTTCTTGGGGATTAGATGGCACTCTTTCTAAAAAAAAAATTTATACCTACACTGCTCTTTATGAAAACTGACTCAAGTATTTCCAACTCCCTCTGAATTACTCTACTTTGTAAAATTATCCTTTGAAGAAAGAGTTAACAGGTTTAATTATTTGGTAAATGCATAACTATTACCTATTTTACCCGAATTTAATGTGTTGGAATCACAGTTTACAAAAACCATATCAAAAAGTAAAACAATTTGGAGTTACCTATACCTACAGATTCAAACCAAATAGAACTAAATATTCATAGCTTACACAGAAATAAAATCACACTTTTGCTACCTGCTTATTCATTTCTGTGATGTTTATCCAGACCTTGTTCAAGCCCAGCTCTCCAGATTCAATCTTCTCAAGTTCTCTTTGTTTGCTGAGTAGTTCTTGATTAAGTTTGGGAATTTCTTGGAATGAACTTTTCTGATTAGATTCCACTAAAAGCAAAAATAAGAACAATCATAAGTAGCCATAAAGTTCCCTCATGGCTCCAAGAAAAAAAATGATCCTATACAGTAGAAAAGTAGATAGAACAACACGTTAACCCTGGGAGGATAATGACTAAATTTATATCTATGAACTACATGTCCTTTTATTTATATAAATGTACATCTTTTACACTAAAGCTTTTAACTGGGGCTATTCACGACTGGCAATACAACTTTTAAAAGTCAGGTGGCTAGCCGTAACCGGTTTGGCTCAGTGGATAGAGCGTCAGCCTGCAGACTCAAGGGTCCCAGGTTCGATTCTGGTCAAGGGCATGTACCTTGGTTGTGGGCACATACCCAGTGGGGAGTGTGCAGGAGGCAGCTGATCAATGTTTTTCTATCATCGATGTTTCTAACTCTCTATCCCTCTCCCTTCCTCTCTGTAAAAAATCAATAAAATATATTAAAAAAAAAAGTCAGGTGGCTAAAAATGATAATGATGACTATCAGCAGTAAGAGTCAGATTTGAATCACAGCTCTGTAACTTACTGTGATCTTGAGAAAATAACTCAACTTTTTTGAGCTCAGTTTCCTCATCTGTAAAATATACTTTACAGGATTTTTAGAATCAAATGAAAGAATGTCTGTAAAGTACTAAACACAGCTGGCCAGGCAGACAGTAAGTGATAAATAAATGTTAAGTACTGACCACCTTTACTCCATTAATGCTCCAGGTGACATCATAAGTTATATCTCTAAGTGTATAAGTCTACTTTTCTCTATCTCAAATTGGTCAAATGCAAGGTGGGTTCTTACCCCCTTTAAAGTACTGTTATGAGGACTAAGATTTTAAATCTTTTTCATAAACAGCAGGGTGTTTTCTTAAATCCACCCAAAAGCTCAAAGTAACAGTAAAGGAAGATAAAGGAACATGTTAACTAAGTATAGGCTGATATTTGGCCTTCCTTTTGGGAAATAATATCTCCTGATTTGTCAGCCTGAAGACAGAGGCCTGCAAGAGTGCTTTCTCTTGTTACTTTAAAGAGTATTTTTCCTTTACATGGAAAATATCGATAATGACTGGTCCTCCAGAATAAAACCTACTTTTTTTTTTTTTAAAGTACACAGTGCCAAATTAGTTATTATATACTTTCTTTGAAACCAAAAGCTGGCACACAGGACAGATATAAGACAATTTACTAAAATGTAAGTACTAAGACATTCTGCATGATTAGCACTTAGAATATACCTGGCATTCAGTATTACTGAATGAATAAATCTGGCCTTTGCTTACCTCCCCAACCATGTTTCTCCTTACTTTACCTACCTCTTTAATCTACTTCCTAGCCAAGCAGATTTTCCTGACATATCAACCTCTTTAAGCCTCAGTGACCCTGCACACTCTATTCTTTCTGCCCAGATGCCTTCAGCTTGTCCCTTTTTCATTTCTGCCACCCTAGCCTAGATAATTACTTTCAAGATTCAGCACAAATAGCTGCACCCCCCACCTTGGACCACCGCCACCTTTTATCACTCCTAACACTTAATATACACTGTGCTGTAGCTATATACTGTCTGTCTCCTGAACCAGACGGAGAGAGCTGTAAGAGGACAGGGACCAAATCATATTAGTCATATATTCCCAGGGCCAACCAGTGCCAGGGACACAGAACTCAAATACTTGTCCAGTGAAATAACTGTAGGGTATGAAATGGAGATAATGCTAGCCTATTAAGTCAAACAAAGAAAACTGAACAAACAAACACAACAACTAAAAATCATAAAGGACACCAATAAGGAGGGAAAAACTGGCTAGTGGTTTCCCCACTACAACAAAGCCCACTATCTGAAAATTCAGAATTATTAAAAGAAATCAGGTACTTTTATTCGTCTTTCAAAATATACACCAAAGAATTTATATATATGTATATATATATATATATTTCCCTAAAAACTTTTTTTTAAAGGTATCACTTTCTTTTTAATACATTTTTTAAATTGATTTCAGAGAGGAAGGGAAAGGGGGAGAAAGAGATAGAAACATCAATGATGAGAGAGAATCATTGATTGGTTGCCTCCTGCATGCCCCCTATTGGGGATCGAGCCCACAACCCAGGCAATATGCCCTTGACCGGAATCAAACCCGGGACCCTTCAGTCCACAGGCCGATGCTCTATCCACTAAGCCAAACCAGCTAGGGCTTCTCTAAAAACTTTTAATGTAACATTTGGTTTACACATGGTTTGTAGGACTACACATCCATCTCATACAATAAAAACATTTTACCAGTCTAAATTATGCAACACTTAGCATTTCAGTGAATTTAGTTTACATTTCAGTGAGGTTGCAAAGTAACTCATCCCACACATGTCTGCCATTCCCAAGTGGTCAAACATCCCAAGAGTGTGTGTGTCCGAAGAGGGGAAAGGAGGAGTCTCTCTCTTTCCTGCAGTCTATACAAATTAAGTAGAAGGTAGAAGTGGAAGATAAACACATAAATAACTTGGGTTACAATTATTAACTAATAAACATATAAAGCTGACAAGCCCTGAACATACTCTGGATGCTGAGGACTGTATGAGCCAAGAAGGGATCATATTTACTATCTGATTTGGGGCCCTGTAGGAGAAACAAGTCAAGTCAAGGCACTCTGACTCCACAAATAGGAGGAAGAGTAACAAACAACTTATGATTACTTATTCATGTTCTTACAACATGGAAAGCAACTCATTTAAAATTTAGTATATTGCCGAAACCGGTTTGGCTCAGTGGATAGAGCGTCGGCCTGCGGACTGAAAGGTCCCGGGTTCGATTCTGGTCAAGGGCATGTACCTTGGTTGCGGGCACATCCCCAGTGGGAGATGTGCAGGAGGCAGCTGATCGATGTTTCTCGCTCATCGATGTTTCTAACTCTCTATCTCTCTCCCTTCCTCTCTGTAAAAAATCAATAAAATATATTTAAAAAAAAAAAAAATTTAGTATATTAAGACTCAAACTTACTTAGCTCTTTTCCTGATCTTCAAGATAAAAAAATGGAGATTTCTGCAAATACCCTTCAGACAGAACATATAAAGCTGATAGCAATATTTTATGTCTTTATAGTTTGCAATAAACTTTTATGTAACTATTAAACTTGCTATTGAGTGCCTACCATGTGCCACTCAGCGCTAGTGCATAAGAAGACCATGAAGTTCTCAGTTCAGCAGGGAGTGAGGCATGAGGCATTGTCACAGTTACTATATGGTGTTAATACACTATGACAGAGGAATGCTCAAAGTGCTTTGATAGCACGAATACATCTTTATGTCCGTTGACTTGTTGACTGCCAGGTCTATTACACATATACTTTAAAAATGTTTTATGGATGGGAAAGTGAAGGCTCAGAAAGAATAAGTGACTTGTCCAAGTTTTACAGCTAGTAATGAGCAAGCCAGGATTCAACAGTCAAGCCTTTTACTCCTAGAACCAGCACTCTTTCTAGTATACTCCAGCTACCATAAATACGTACATCCTAATACCCTCATTATCACAAGATCATTTAGGAGATGCTTAGTGCATTAATCTTTCCTTCTTTTCCAAATTCTTTTTTCTATTACTCTAGTGTTACATAGTTGAGTGAAAAAGAGGGATGATTAGGAATAGATCTTCCTTAGAATAACTGTGGAGGTCTTTTGGAGTACCTGGAATACTGAGCTAAGAGTTTCAAGGCCAGCCAGTACTTTTAACTTAAGGGTCAAGTTACTCCTTGAATACAAGATAAAAAACATGAAGCCTCCCTGCTTTGCTTTCTGTTTCAGCAACCTTACCTCCTTCCTCACAAGTGTCTTGGAAAATTTATTGAAATGAAGAACAATGGGCTCTGAATTTTTCAAAAAAGTATTAAAGCCAGAATAGCAGATGATCTTATTTAAGTCAGTGAGTTCCACTGTTCTCCTGAAAACCAAGAGGTATAAATGTTGAAATATATTTAAAGCAGAATTCAAGAAAGATTATTTAAGCTTTACAAGATTGACCTCATTTAGTCAAGGTAATAGTTTTCACACAAAAACTCGAGCCCTAGCCAGTGTGGCTCAGTGGATAGAGCACCGGCCGGCGGACCAAAGGATCCCAGGTTCGATTCCGGTCAAGGGCATGTACCTCAGTTGCAGGCTCCTTCCGGGCTGGGCCCCGACCCTGATCGGGGTGTGTACAGGAGGCAACCAATCGATGGAAAAATATCTTTGGGTGAGGGTTAAAACAAAACAAAACAACAACAACAAAAAACTCTTGGGCAAGTAGTTCACAATGGCTCAGCTCATGGACTGACAACATGCCCCAGGGCCCAGCCCCTATCCCTCAGGAAGTCCTGCTTTAGACATTATAGGTGCTGGCATTTCTATTGTAGCAAACCAAAGCCAACAATGCAGTGGGACTGACAATTCTAAATCTGCTTTATTCAGGGGCCTGAGTCTCAGGGGAATGTTGCTCAATTATATATATTGGGTCTCATAGTCCAGGGTACAATTCCTGGAATCTCCTGAATATAGTATTTCCAGGAATTGGGATTAACAAGTGCTCAATAAATATTTGTTGACTCGTTGCCAGGTCTATTACACATATTCTTTAAAACTGCATTTCTAGACAAAGAAATTCACTGAAAAGAGTATAAATTACTTGGGTGTCCTGTAAACACAGGCACAGAAGAGTCAGAGAAAGGAATTCGAGAGGTAGAATTGAGCAATGTTTTGAAATGTATAAATAAATGATTGCTACATGTGATCAAAACAAGCTGTAGCACAAACCTAAGAAGTCCAACTAATTAAGGAGATGACGGCACAAACAGGTGTCTTTGCTGGTTGTTTACAGTTAAAACTGTTTCTGAAAACCTCATTTCCAAGATATGATTACTCCTTACAAAGAAAACACTGGCCTTAGAAACACCTTGCAATACCGCTAAGGACAATCATTAAGGAGGAACAACAACTAGAATACAAGTCTCATTCTTTTTTACACTATACTCTGATTCCACTAGTTGATAAAACATGTAAGTCAGGATGATTCTGACAGAGAATGACTTACCCAAGGCCATTCCCTAAATCAGAAACTTAGAAGAAAACCAGTTAGTAGTTCAGTTTGTTTTTTTTGTTTTTTTAAGCAACATCACTAGGAATGTCATCAACACACTAAGGATTAGTTGTCCCTAGATCAGGTTCAGAACTTTAATAACTGCAGGCAGCAAAGAGAAGCTGGAGTGAAGGAAAACTAGGATGTTGTGATTTCCCCAAGCTTAATATGGGAAGTAAGGAAAGAACTCTAATTCCAGTTCTGGGGCCAGATTTCTTTATGATCTTAGGAAAGCCTGGTGGTCAGTTTCCTGATGTGTTAATGCTGCTAAGGTTAGGGAATTTGTGATTAACTTGGAACTGGTTCCTTAGCTTAGAAAATTAACTCTTGAAACTGAGAAACGAAGATCTCAGTGTTGGTAAATGAAGATATTTAAGTTAAATCTGGTAGAAGCCAGCATGCAAACACATCTTTTAGAAAAAGCACTTTGCATATGCAAAATACAATTTTATAATTTAGAATATATAAAACGCCATAACTTAAGAAAGTCTCTTACACTTTGAAACCCACTCATGAGAAATATTTATTTGTGACTTGGCACACCGTAAGCACTTCATAAATGTTGGCCATTATTATTGCCCATTCCTATGTTCTTATACAATTTTTAAGAAGGACATTTTTTTGACAGATTCCCATATTCTTTCTCAAATGGCCTATGAGGAAGAAGGAAATAGCCCAGTGCAATGAGGAAGTATAAAGTGGCAACAGGTGGAGGTTAACCAAGGTTCTAGACTCCTGGACCTTTTTTTGTTTGTATTTAAGACAAATAACTGTTACTATATTGAAGTTGACAGCTAAGAAAGAATATAAAAATGCTGAAAAAAATGTATAATGTATAATTGCTTTACCAATGGGCAAAACCCTTAATTCAGCATGGTCCACTTTGTCCTAGATCCTGGAAGAGAATCCAAGATTATACTCTGAAATATGCGACCACTTACTTGTTCTAAATTTCTCCTTGAGGGTATCCAGATCCTCCTTCAGAGCAACTTGCATCCACACCAAGCCCACGCAGGCCACGACACAGGCGGCAAGGATGACAAAAGCACAGAGGGGATAACAGATCTTGCAGCATCGTAAATAGTCTCCCCTGATCACAAGAACAAATTCAACCAGGAGTACAAAGGTGATTATGAGCACAACTTTATTAGAAATAGCATTCCTGTACTGCTATGCAATTATGTTTTTAAGTGAATAAGCAGTTGATTTACCAGGGAATATCGAGTAACATAGTTAAATCTGAACAGCAAGTTGAAAATAACCAAGTAATATGACCTATGAAGAGGTCATCTATCCAGTACAAAAGTTTAAAACTTCTCATGAAACAGAGGACTTCCTGTGGGCCACAGGAAGCACCTGTGGGAACTGCAGCTCACTGCAATCACGACCAATTCAAGTCTTTGGAAACAATCTCAGGTTAGGAAAGCGCTGAGACCAAGGCTTCTCTGCAATTCCATCACTGCACTGTAATTTACCTACCTGCCTCTGTCAAATGCATGCTCACTCCAGGGGACCCTGTTTCAGTTTATTGAAACTTCATAAACTTTTGAGCAAGTTTTACTGCAAATGGAATGAAAGAAATAGGAACTGTAGGGTGAAGTGGACACCTGGTACACTCTAGCTATCGGCTTAGAAGAAAGGAAGCATAGAAAGGAGTTAGATTTCACACCAAGTTTCAACCAACACTCAGGTCTAAATTAACCCAGAAGGGTAACTATTCCAGTTGAGCTATTCCATTTCATCAGATCTGCACAACCCAAACCTAGGGTTGTCCTTAACTACCTAATCTGGCAAAGCTCATTAGAAGCCAAATCCTTCCTTTAACAAAATAGGACAAAGATACTCTAAACCAGCGGTTCTCAACCTGGGGGTCGAACGACCCTTTCACAGGGGTCGCCTAAGACCATCAGCAAATACATATATAATTACGTATTGTTTTTGTGATTCATCACTATGCTTTAATTATGTTCAATTTGTAACAATGAAATTGGGAGTCACCACAACATGAGGAACTGTATTAAAGGGTCGTGGCATTAGGAAGGTTGAGAACCACTGCTCTAAACAAACTCAAAGGATTCAACCTCTTTTCGCACCCCAACCTTCTGCCTAGCCCTTGCTTCCACATGCTCAGCAGAATATCTTTTCTTTTAATGTTGTCCCTGAGAGGGTCCAAGGCACCTTCCAGGTTCCCTCCAGCCCTTTCCCAACCCTGAGCCCTAATTCCCAATGTCCTCAATACTCACTACTGGGTCAGTCTAGTGGCTGCACCATTTGAAAGTGGGTTTGGGAAAAAGCTGCCTCTTCACTTTGTCCTCCATGCTCCATTACTCTCGAGGCTCGTACAGTATGTCCCTCAACAAATTCTTCCATCACCAAGATTCAGACTCACAAGAGCGCAAAATAAATAAATAAATAATTTACAGTCTTAAGGTTTCTATCTCGGGGGACCTTAAAAAAAGGCTACTTCCAAAAGCTTGTCTGCTCCTATGTTCCTATTCTTAGCTTCTTTGCTCCCCCTGACTTGGTGTTCCTGGGCTCCTGGCATCTTCCCCACATCCACACTTCCACCCTAGGTTTAGAGCGCTTTTTTGTACACTTACAGACAGATCTCTAACTTATCCTTCATTGAGAACCTGAAGAAACAACTTTTCTCCCTCTTTGCCTTCCAAGGACTACGGTGTAGTCACTACACAGACTGATTTTTTTTCCCCCCCTAAGAACTCCATTCTCCTTCTCTTCAATTTGCCCCCTTGGTCGTGCAAGGAGCTGTCTTCTCCCCATCCCACCCCTCACCACCGCATCACTCACTTGACAAAGCGAGAGCGATTGCCAACTACACCGAACTCCTCTTCCTCCTCGGAGCTGGACTCGGAGTCCGAAGCAGGAGGCTCAGTGCGAAGCAGGCGGTGGCCCGAGCCTTTCTTGGGCTTCTTTCTCCGGCTCTCCCCAGACAAGCCAATCAATGCATTGAGCTCTTTGCGCTTTTTCATCTTCTTGTGTGGGGTGAGCGGAGCACCCACTCCGGAGCTGCCAGGTTCGTACTCGAGGCCCAGCTCTCTTGCTACCTTGGAGCTGCCTTCCAGGGTGGGGGATCCTGGGCCAGAGCCCCCTGGTCACTCCCACCCAGGGGTGGGACTGACCAGATCCGCTGGGAGCTGGAGACTGGAGCCCAGAGGAAACTGGAACTGCTGGGTGGGGGAAGTCACATAGATAGGGCCGGGGAGCTGGTGACCCAAAAGGTCCTGGGCATGAAGTGTCAGTTAAGAAGGTGTGAAGGGGATAAAAACCAAGCCAAGAACGAGCGACGCTCAGCCCTGATAAGTAGATAATGTTCCTAAGGGTGCTCCGAGAGCTGGGAAGGGCACACGGACGGGTGCTCTGGGCTTCCGGGCAGGATTTCCAATGGAGAGAGAAGAGAAACTTGTTCTTGAACGGGAGGCAAGGGAGAGGCGCACAACCAGACAGTGCGAGCGCGCCCGTCCCTCCTCAGCTGGAGAGGTGGCAGCAGGAGGGGCTCCCGGTTGCTACTGTCCGGACACAGTCGGGGAGACAGCCAATGTCCGGGTCGGCGGTGCTCACTGTCCTCCGGCCTTAGTTTGCAGGAAGTCCAAGACGGAGGAAAACCCAGAGGCCGGTACGGAGGGCTCGGCCTGGGAGGAGCCAGTCCCGCGCCCCGGGAGACCCCAGCCCCGCTGTCTGGGCCTGGGGGCACGGTGCGGGAGGGCGACGGCGGCTCTGCCCACCTGAAGAGCTCCCGCCCGGAGTTTGAGGTGTTCCGGCACCGGCGACTCTTGGCAGCTCACAAGCGCCTTCTTCGCTCCGTCCGCGACTCCGGCCTCCGCTCCGGCTGCGGCCGCCGCTGCTCCCGACGCGCAGGTGGCGGCGGAGGCTGCCGCGGGTTCCAGCCCCGGGCCATCGCTCCAGCTCCAGCTCACTTCCTCTTGGCAGCAACTGCCAGCGCCGCCTTCCAGTAAGCCGCGTTCCCATTGGCCGTCTTCCTGGTGACGTCACACCACAGGCGCTTGTAGAAGCAGGAGGCGGGGTGTTAAAGGGCCCTGGGCACCTGCGAGGGCTGGGCCCGCTCGCTGGTGGGGAGGCCCCGCCCCCACAGGGGCGTGCGCTCACCTGAGCTGGGGAGGAGTGTTGTTTCCGGAGGGGATCCTGGGTTCGAGTACACGCCCAGGCTGCGGGCTCAATCCCTGGTCCGTATTAGGGGGCGTGCAGGAGGCAGTACATCAACAATTCTCTCTCATTAGTGATGTTTCTATCTCCCTCTCCCTTCCTCCCTGAAATCAATAAAAATATATTTTTAAAAAAGTTTATCGAACTGAACTTATGAACTTACTCAGCCTGGAGGCAACGCACCTCTGACTCACGGGCTGTTTATGACCTGATTGAACACAATTATTCATTTCATAAATATTACCACGTGTCACGAGCAGTTCTGGCGCTGGAGATACAGAGATAAGCAAAACAACTACTGTCCCCCTAAAAATAAATACAGGACACCCAGTAAAGTTTGAATTTCAGATAAACAATGAATAGTTTTTTAGTGTATGTCCCATACAGTTTCTGGGACATCTTCATACTGAAAACTTAGTTTTTTTAAATCTGAAATCCAAATTTAACTGGTATCCTGTATTTATCTGCCAATCCTATTCCTGCAGCTTTATTCTGGTGGGAGGAGAGCAACAACAGACATGCATATCACATGTCAGGAGGTGATAAGTGTTATGAAAAAATTGAAACATAAGGGGATGGGAAGTGCCTCTGTGATAAGGGGACATTGGGTTATAGACTGGGAGGAAATGGGAGAATGAGCTACGCAATGGCCAGGAGGAAGGAGTGACCTGGAAAACCTGGTGTGGCTGGACCTGAAGAGCAAAGAGGAGAGAGGTGGGAAATGAGATCAGGGCCGGATTGTGAGGGGCCTTACGTATGGTGGTGTGGACTTTGGGAAAACATTGGTGCTTTAAGCTGAAAGGAGGCGTACTTTGGTTTAGATTTTTAAAAGATCACTCCGGCCTACTGTGTGGAAAAGAGAATTGGGAGAAGGGGAGGGACAAAGGAAACCAGGAAACCAGTCCAGATAGAGATGGTGATAGACTAGGGTGACAATAATGGAGATGGTGAGCATTCTGGATGCTTCTTGAAGTTAGAGCTAATAATATTGACTCATGGATTAGATGAAAGGTGTGAAGAAAGAGGAGTAGTGGAGGACTTCAGAGTTTTGGGGTGGGACAACTGGAAGAAGGGAATTGCCATTTACTGAGATGGTGAAGAGCAGGTGTGGGGCAAGCTTGAGAAGCCAATTCAATATTCAAATGGCTTTTTTGGTATATCCATTTAGAATTTGGGGCAGAGGTTGGGGCCTGAAATATAAACCTGAGAGTATCAGATGGTATTTAAAGCAAAGAGCTTTGAACTGCTTGGAAGAAAGTAACTTAAAGTAATATTTTTTAAAAATATATTTTTATTGATTTCAGAGAAGAAGGGAGAGGGAGAGAGAGATAGAAACATCAATGATGAGAGCGAATCATTGATTGATCGCCTCCTGCACGCCCCACACTGAGGATCGAGCCCACAACCCTGGCATGTGCCCTGACCAGGAATTGAACTGTGACCTCCTGGTTCATAGGTTGATGCTCAACCGCTGAGCCATGCAGGCCGGGCTTAAAGTAATTCTTTTATGGCAATTACGTGATCATTCTTATTGTGCCATTTGCACTGTGTTTGTTCAGGGAGACACACCCAAAGCTGGTGTGTCTTATTTATCTTTCTGTGTCTAGCCCAGAGGCAGGCATTTAGTAACAATGATCTGATAAATATGTGATAGATACTTACATAAGTGGGCAGAGTTGTACAGAAGTATGAGTGGAGTTGGAATCATGAGATCTGGGAAGTATTATGCTTCTAATATTATCTCTGTCAGCATGGAAGCCATTTAAATTTTCTGAGCTTCACTTTTCCCTCTGAAAAATAGCAATAACATCTATTTCACTGGACAAATGAGAAGATGCCTGAGAAAGTGCTTCTGCAGCCCCAAATCATGGTGCAGTTATTGCTTTTATTGTCTCCTTTTGATTCTAGAGCTGTGCACTCCAATTTAAATTTACATTTAACTTAATCAACGTTGAATAAAAAGTTTAAATGAGTTCTTCTGTCTTACTGGCCACTCTACTACAACAGGGAGCCAGGGGCTGAGGAAACCACAGGAGTGAGGCAGGACACAGATGCATTGGCCAACTGCAATGACTTCCGGTCAGCCAGATCCTGCCCTCTCTGCAGGACTGGCTACATAATTTGTGGGGCCCAGTGCAAATGAAAATGCAAGGTCCTTTGTGAAAAAGCAGAAAAATGATTTTTCTTTCCTTTGTTATTCCTTACTCAGCCTGTCATGCTGTTTCTTATTCACTAATGAATATTATGCTCCCTTGGGCATGGGGATAATCACAGGGGCCTGGGACCCTGCCTCTGACTTGGTGTGCATCCCCTCCCTGCATCCAGGCCCCTGCCTGGGATAGAAGAAGGACAGGGAAACAGGTAGACGAGAACCCATTTTGGGGAGAGGAAGGAGGGGAGGTGATGAGAGATAGAATGACCTGTGAGCTGAGACTCCAGGCCCCAGTGCATGCTTCTTTGTTTCATAGGCTTCATTTACAAAACACAAATTCAAAAATAAAATTATTGTGAAATTCAAGATGGCAACCACAGGACATTAAATCCCCATTGAGGGGCACCCTTCTGAGTGGGGGGTTCTGTGCAACTGTACTGGTCACACACCCCTGGAGCTGGCCCTAATGATACCTAGCTCACAGAGTAGCTGTGAAGAGGGAATGTGCCTGACTCATAGTTAGTGCTCAATAAATGTCAGCTGCCCTATGAATATGATTAATTATGAAATGTGATGTACTACAGACTTACTAAATGTAATTTTGATGATATGCCTTTATTTACCTAATAGAAAAGACTGCTTTCATCTACTTTAAGAACTCTGTTTGCCATAATCTTTCTTGGTGTTTTGCTATGGTTAAAGAGGGGGGAGGAACAGAAATGAACATTTAAACATACTTAGGTGTCAAGCATTTTGGTGTTAATCCTCACTACAATAAGCTAATCTCCACCAGGCAAGTGTTTTATCCCTGCTCTAATTGAGGAGGAAAATGGTGCTCAGAGATTGCAAGAGGCTTGCCCAGGGACACACAGGACATCAATGGCAGATGCTGGGACTTGAGTCGGCTTCTGTCTGCCTCTGAAGCCCGAGTTCTGCACCCAGTGCCCTGCACCACGCTGATGGAGCCCACTGTCTGGGGCCTTTTTCTGGAACTGAAGAATCTTCCTTCTGGGGTGGCCTCATCTGCTTCCCCAGGCCCCTTCCCCATTCTTTTTGCTGTTGTGCTGGCAGGTGCATCCTGAACCCCGAGGAGAGGACTAAGGACAATGGGAGGGGAAGGATTGGGTGGTAGGAAAGGGGCCAAGCTCCAAGCTAAACAATGGTTCCTCTCCCAGTGGGTCCCAGGCAGCCGGAAGTAGCAAATGGTTCCCAGCATTATTGTGGGCAGGGGTGAGGGCTGCGCCTCTGGGATTCTCCTATTCTAGGCACAGCCTCCTCCGAGTTGCTGCAAGCTCTGGTGCCTCAGCTGTGTAGTAGCTTCAGTTTCCCCATCTATTAACTGTGCTTTAGCACTCAGAACAGTGCCCAATGCTGGGGGACCTCAGGAACTGTTGGCTGAATTATCTTATAGGAAGAGTAGAGGAAACTCGGAAGAGTTTCTAGGCATTGTTCTTCATCTTGGTGACCCCATCCATCCATCCATCCATCCACCCACCCAACACTACTGCCTTGAGGGAGTCTCTACCCTGTGTGAGGCTGTGAAACACATCAATAATATCCAGGCTTTGCCCTGCAAGATCCCCAGGAAGCAGGCAATGGCTCCTGGGAGCAAATGCCACAGGATAGGTTTATACTGGAAGAAGTAAGAAAGCAAGTCTGGAGTGACAGGGTTTATTTTAGGATGAGAACAATAATCCTGGGAGGAAAGAACCTGCATCGAGGCCTCCAGCCCACCTGTCCCTGCTCCTGCTGTCTTCCTCTGGCGCTTGAGCTGGAGACAGGGCTGCAACTAGACATGGAAGGAGCTCTGGGACCAGCACGTCTGGGTTCAAGTCTCAGCCTCTCCACCCACTAGCTGTGTGACCTTAGACAAGTTCCTTTTCCTCTCTGAGCCTGTTTTCTCATGTGTAAATCAAAACTAACAATGTTCACCTCCTGGCAGTGCCTGTGGTAAGGATTACACTTAAATGGCGGGCATTAGAGATTAAAGCTCTCTAATTATTAAGTGCATTGGGTAGACAGGTTGACCAGGAAGCACCTCTGGACCTCTGGGGAACCTTATTTGAATGGGGAGGCTCTTCTAACTGAAGAAGGGCTGTGTGTGTGTGTGTGTGTGTGTGTGTGTGTGTGTGTGTGTGTGTTGGATGTTGGTGGGAGACGCTGAGTCGGCAAGGCCACTTGAGGGTAGGGCAGGAAAAAAGGAGGCTTCCTGGGCCCTCCTGAGTTCTTTCTGAGGGAACTGGCTTTGTGTGTCTACATCAGCCTAAGACTGTGGCTCCAGCTCTGTCTGATACCAGAGTCTACTTTCCTGAGAAGACCCGCTTGAGGGAGACACTATAGTGACTATACACATGCACGGGCTTGTGCTGCCCTCTGCTGTTTTTTTGGACAACTGCATGCATTGGATGGGGACAATTTCCATTCACACAAGTCTCCTATGTCCAGCCCTGTGTTGGAAAGTGGGGACATACAGATAGACAAAATTATAATCTTATATTCCCGCTGTTTAAGAGCTTCTAGTGTGTGTGTGTGTGTGTGTGTGTGTGTGTG